GGTGGTGGTGGTGGTGGTGGTGGTGGTGGTGGTGGTAGTGGTAGTGACGGGTGAGTGGGACAAGTGTTGTAGAGGAGAGGCTGAGAGTAACCAACATCAGTATCCCACCAAAGAGGAATATCCAATAGCGAAGTGGGCCAAGTGGAAAGAAGAGGAATGAAATGACTGTCAATGTTAATAAAGAGGGTCACCTACTCTAACCAAGGGGAGAAACTGTTAATGAGAAGGTAGGACACTGTAATAGGGTCAAATAAAAGGCCAGGGAAACTCTTCTGAGGATCTTTGGGAATAAGAAACTTCCCTGGGAATAAGAAATTTCCGAGACTAGCTGTGTGAGGGGTGGGGCTGGGGAATCCCTTACAAAAGTAGGCCTGAAACCTCTGATTGGCTTTAGGTCCCTACCTGGCTTTAGAGTGTATGAAAGACTGAACTTTTCAGGGCTCCAGATGCCAGGTGACTGATGGACTTCACCAAATTCCTCAGGGGCCATCCTTCCTGCCGCTGCTGCCACCTGTGAAGGAAAATGACAGGTTACTTTAGACATGAGACAAGGGACTAGACACCAAAGAGAAATTTGGTCTTTCACCCAGGGAATATGACCTTAGTAGGTAATAGTGATGGTGATGGTCACCACTCTTCCAATTCCCTCAAACCTGAATTCACAAAGCCCAGAAGGATTAAGATGAATCTTAAGTATGCTCCCAGAGAGAGATATAACTGCTCTAAGAGTCCTACCTCCTGGGAATCAGCTCCCAGTCTGATAAAGTAAAAACAATGATTCTATACTTAAGAGGTAAAGTAGGAATTCAACAGAACTGGAAGCTGTGAAACTCAGAATTATAAAAGGTGATGGAGGTTCAAGGTTAATACAAAGTTAATGTAAGAAGGTGACTCAAAGGAGGCCATCTAGTTTTAGATCAGATCATCGCCTTGTCCATAACAGGTTCTTCAGGAAAGGCTAGGAGGCAAACAAACAAGAAAATCCTATGAGACAGAAAGGAGGTTTGTGAGGGGACAGCAGACTTGATACAATTTGGACAAGTAGGTCTATCATACACACTCCCTATGTAGGGAGGAATCTGCATGGGGACCAGTTCACGTTCCCCCAGTATTATCAATTGGGTTGTGATGGAGAAAATGTAAAGGTTATGTACTAGGATCTGTTTGTCATCCACACACAATATTCATTTTGCAGACCCACTGCCCCTCTGACCTAGACTCATAACTCTAAACTGTTTCTCCCTCCAAGATTCTGATCCCAGCTTAGAGACTCTTTAGCATTTACCTCTATGCACATCATTGGCTCCCAAACTCGTATGCTCAGAAAATAAGCATTGGAAGGGACTGCAGATACATCTCGGAGAGGTCCAAAGAGGGGGTGGTCTCAGCATCAGAGTGAGATAACTTCAGAACCTGCTGTGCATGTCAGTTCACTGAGCACACTACTTAAGCCTTAGGTCACTGTGGAGCACCACACCACCTTCTTTCTGCCTCATCAAAGGAGAAAACGGACAGTTCAAACTTAATAAGGGAGAGGAGTAGGGGGTCCCCCCTCCAACCCCGTTTCCCAGTGATCTCAGAGAATATCTCATTTTACAGAGTTCTATAATCCCTTCTCTCATTCAGAGACTCCCCTTAGTTTCCCAGAAGGTGAGGTGAGTTTTCTCTCTCCCTTCCTTCCGATTTTGCTTTTCTATAGCTGTATGGTAATGCAAAAGAGCCTGAGTTGAGATTTAGGGTGAATTCCTCACTGGGTCTCAGAGGCCTGCTTCCCAAATCCCAGAGCTGGTGGCAAAGTGCTCCTGGAACTTGGGGGTAACTTTGGGGGCATCAAGATCTTTGGCGGTGGCTGCCACTTGCTTCCCCAATGAACCAGAGCTCCTGACTACATAAAAATTACACTTGTACAATCTGCAGGTCATGGAGAGATGAGTCTTCGAGGTAAAAACACATAAAACTTCTCAATTTTTCTACTAATGTTTTCCAAATCTACCTTTCCCCCTCAAAACCTCACAGCCCTACCTTCCTTTCCTGAGGAAGTTCAGCGGTCACAGGAGTTGGCAATCTTAAGGTTGAGGGCTCTATACTCAAGTAGGTTAAGATTCTGGCCTCTTGGACTCCAGTTTTGGCTGGCTGCCACCACCTCACTCACTATGAGACAGTGGGCAAGGCACTTCCCTTCCCCAAAGCTGTTTCCCACTCTGTACACTGAAAGAGTGAATTAGGTGATCTCTAGGGTCCCTTTCTAGCTCTGGCCGACTGGTGATTCTATAAGGAAGGAGACACTTCCTTTTATCAGGAAGTGAGGCATTCTTGCCCTTCACACCTTCTCTCTGGGCCACTGCAGAAAGAAGCTCCCCTAGAGATGCCTGCTTTTCTCATGCTGGCTTAAAGGGACAAACGAGGGAGTCCCAGTAGGAGGCCTTCCTTTCAGTGCCAAACTCCTTCTATTATGAAGATATATTAAGAAGGTGATCTAACTCTAACCCTGAATCTTGACAAGGCAGAGAAGACACAAGGCAGATGTATGGGGCAGGGAAGAGTGTGATAAGCATGCCCCCCAACATACAACTGAGACCATCTGAGCACACATTTGGCTTTGCCCTAGGGAGGACCATGTATCAAATACAACTGTATGTGGATGGAAGAAGAAAGCAAGGACATGTGTAAACACATCCAGAGCATGGACATAAATGTCCAATCAGCGCAAAGACACTCACTACTGTTCTTTCCTACTTTAGGCCTATACCTGCCTTGTAAGAAGCTATGGTGTGTGGGTGGCACCACATCCCAGTCTTGCCCCTCCCCAAAGTCAGAAAGGAAGAGATAGTGAGACAGGAGCTACTTGGCTTCCTATAAATTGTTTTGTCCTTCCTCACAGCTGCAATCAGAAGCTAAGGGCTCCCGCAGGCCTTGTTCTGATCTGCTGCAGGCGATGGAGGGTTTTTGAAACGGAGAGGACTTGGCTGCAGCCCCGTTTCAGCTGCCATTGGGGCTGGCTAATGGACTCATTCGGGAAGACCCCCGCCTGCTGCACTAAAGAGTCCCCCGTGGACCCCCTCCCCAATCCCAACCCAATTAATAAATGGGGGCTCCCACTTTATGGCTCTGGGAGCAGGAACCAGAGATACAAATGACCCCCAGGGAGGGACAGAAAAAGGCCTTCCAAGAAACAAGCCAGAGAATTGTGCATCCACAGCCACATGCTGCCACAGGCTAGTCATATCCCATTTTCAAAGCATTAAAGGGGAAAAAACTGGCAAAAAACTATTTTCTTTCCTAGATCTGGAGAGGGATAGCATTCTTTAAGTCTGTGGGAACACCCCAGCAATAAACTCTCTTTCACCTGGATCTCCCACCTGCAAAGGGCAGAGTGCAGATGGATAGTCTGGGCACAGAGTACAAGCTTCACTATTTCCTAGGGGTGCTGCCCCCACCTAGACCCTGCAATACTGAACAAAGACACATCCCATCAATTGGTTAATGAAGTAAAAAAAAGCGGCTACCTCTTTCCAAGCTCTCATCACCATCAACAGGATTAATGTCCTGGGGTCATCTCTCCTCTTACATCCAAACTATCATCAAACCTTGCTAATTCCTATGGACCCCCTTCCTTTCTTCTCATTCTCCTTGTCCCACTCTAGTGCAGGCCCTCAGGGCCTCACATCTGGACAAGAACAAAAATATCCTAGCAAGCTTTCCTGCTTCCTTGACCCAGTATGGCTGCGAAAGTCCTCAACATCATATTCATCCCACCATGCTCTGCTTCCTGTTAATGCTTACCAAATCAAATCCGAACTCCTCATGCAGGCCCACAAGACTGCTCCTCAACTTTAATATTTCTCTCCTTTACCACGCTGACTAGCCCATTCAAAGCTTTCTGCACAAAACACACATAAACCTTCTTCTGTAAGTTTTCTTCATCTGAACACCTCTTCTGTTCCCTTATCTTCATTACTTCAAGGAATTCTTTTCTGGTTTAACTCAACTTTTCGAATTATTTCTTGGCTATGGCTACTTCTGTACTAGGTTACTGTCTTATTTTATAGCCTGCATTAATGTGCTGACTTATAAATACTGATTCCTTACTTCCCAACCAAGTGTAAGACTCATCTCACTAGATCCAAAAGCTTCTTTAAAAAGTGAGATCCTCCCTTAATCTTCCCCAGAACTTGTCCTGTACTCAGGACATGACTCAGCTAATGATATTACCGCTCCCCACTGAAGCAGCCTCATGGTTTAACACTTGGGATATCATATCAAACAACTATGAGGAATAAAATCTTATTCTCACTAGCAATGTTCAGGCTGCCACCTGCTCCTTCCAACATTGAACTTGGCACTGAGTCTTTCCAAAATTATAAACTGTTTCATGACTTCAAAGTGTGTTACAAAACAAAAACCCCAAAACAAGCATGGTCACCAAAGGCATATGTTTATCTCCTTGATTCTTAGGATATAAACATTGTTTTCTTTGAAGACCCCTTAGGAGGAGATGCCCTATGTTGTTCCCTATTTCTAAGATTAATCTATATTCTCAGGTCATGAGCTGATTTTCTAGAATGCAAATCAATCTCACAGCCAAGAGTAATCTTGTTCTCTACCAGCTCTGCCCCTAGCTTACCTCTGACCACACATTTCTGGAAGGTTCCCAGGAATAGAGAAGTTATTCATGAGTCTCAACTATTTAGCGAGTACTTCCTTAG